AGGAACCTCAGAGCCTGCTGACAGACCCCAGGAACAGCCTACGGAGTCAGAGGGATTTGGGATGGAAGAGGACAAGGACTCACTGAAGGAGGCTCCAAAATGCTACAAGGAAGCTCAGTGGAGAACTTATTGCTCTCCACAACTGCCTGACAGGAGGGTGTAGTGAGGGGGTGTCAGTCTCTTCTCCCAGCTGACAAGAGGAAATGGCCTTAAGTTGTGTCAGGGCAGGTTTAGGTTGGATATTGGGAAACAACTTCTTCATGGAAATGGCTGTAGAGCATTGGCTGCCAAGGGAAATGGTGGACTCACCATCCCTGGAAGTGTTCAAAAAGAAAAAAATAAAAAATGGATGTGGCACTTGAGGACATGCCTTAATGGTGAACATGATGGTGGTGTTGGGTCAATGGTTGGACTGGATGATCTTGCAAGTCTTTTCCAACCTAAGACTATGCACAGAGCTAACTCCTCAGCCTTGACCAGACCCCTGAGGAACTCCTGAGCCTAAAGAGGAGAGTGTGAGAGGTTTCCTCCTCCCAGGCCAGCACAGCCCTCCTACCTCCGGGGCGCTCGTGCCTGCCGTCGGTGTGCAGCAGCATGGCAATGGGCATGCCCACGTTCTTCGACCTGCCAGCCACCACCACGTTCTTCCCCAGCGTTGGGATGCCTGCAGAGGGCAAATGGGGCTCTTAGAATGGACACACAGGAGCTAAGCCAGACAAACAGTGGAGCAGCAGCAGCTTACCAGTCCTCTTGATGATCTCCCACACGCCCCAGGGCGTGGCAGGCAGCATGGAGTATTGGTCCAGGCACATACGTCCCACGTTGATCACGTGGAAACCATCAACATCCTTCTCTGGGCTCACTGCGTTGCAAACCTTGCGCTCATCGATGTGTTCTGCAGGAGAAACAGGAAAGCTTTGAGCTTAGGGATGAGGATCTCTGGAGTCAGTCAGGCTCTGAGCAGGAGTTAGGACCCTGAGCCCTGCCCTGCTGCACCAGGATCTCATAAAATCAGAGAATTTAAGGGTTGGAATGGACTTTACAGATCATCTAGTCCCAAGCCTCCCTGCCATGATCACTGGATCAGGTTGCACAAAGCCTTATCTAGCTTGGCCTTGAACAGGCTTGGAGGTTTGAGGCTCAAAGCACCTCAGGACCTCCAGTTCAAAGCTGACAGCTCCCAGCAGAAAGGGCCTGGAAGCCCTTTGGAATGGCAGCATTGCTAATGCTGAAGGTATTTTTAGGCAGCCTCAATGCCACAACTGAGTTCAAGCTTGTGGCTCTGGAAGCTGATACTCCTCACACAGGAATAGATCCTGTGACCCTCCACCAGTCAACTCTTGCAGGCAGCTGTGGGGTGAGGAGCTGCAGGGACTTCTTTCAGCTGGATTCTACCTCTCCTGGCACAGGATCCTCCTCTGCTGCTCCTTCCTGCACACACAAACCCTGAAAAGCTTCGTGTCGAAATGAGAAACTGGTGGAAATGTAGCTCCTCACCAGGCAGGGGAAGCTGTACCAAGAGGCCATCCACGTTGGCATCATTATTGAGGTTGCTGATCAAATCCAGCAGCTCCTCCTCGGTGATGGAAGCTGGTCTGAGGATGGTCTCACTGCTGATTCCTGGCAGGCATCAAAAACATGGCACTAGTGAGCCATGGGTGTGCACAAGAGAGCAATTTTCCTAATCCTTGAAGATTTAAGATGCCCTGTTTGGTTGCTTTACCAAATCTGACAGGGATTGTATGGTTTGGGCAACAAGAAGCACCTTCCAGGCTGGAGAGACCTTCACAAGCCTTGGGAGTTATGGTTCAGGGCAATTAATATCAGGCTAATGACTTGGGAAAGAGGATTTGAGACTCTCCCAGTGCAGGGAGGGCTTGGAGAACTCCAACCCAAGGGTGTTAATGATCACACATGCTGCAATCTCTCTGGGCACAGGAGGAAGGATGTTAGCCTAAAACTCTCAGCTCCAAAAGCTTCAGCAGTGCAGAACCCAAGGTAAAATGACACCTTTTATTGCCCCTAACCCTGAGCAGGACCTTGGATTTCAAGATTGGAAGGAGTCAGAGGGCAGCAAGGCTGAATGATGACTATGCTCAGGCAGGTGAGGGAAGGAGGAAGAAAAAAAAAAAAAGCTTTTTATGGCTCCAAGAAGGCTGAAATTCCCAACCACAGAGCTTGATGTTGCCCTGAAGGATTCCAATGGCACAAAACACACAGTGAACCACGTTTACCATCTCCACCCCAGTACAACAAAGTACAACAGGAAACTCTGGGACACAGCTGAGGGGAACAGGGGGATGCATCCCACAAAGCTTCCCAACTAAACAGCCCCTTGCCCCACCTGGCTGGGAGGGAGCAGCAAACATACCCACGTCAGCAGCAGCTTTGGTCTTGTTGAGGACATAGGAGTGACTGGCTGGGTTTTCTCCCACGAGGATGACACTGAGGTGAGGCCTCTTGTTTCCTGCTGCTACCCACTGCTCCACCTCGTGACGAGCTTCCTGCCGGATCTGCCGTGCCAACTTCCTCCCCGAGATCACAACTGCTTCATCCCTGCCATGCACAAAGTCTCAGCACCATCAGGACCTTCAAACCCTCGTGCAACATGAAAAAACACCCACCAACCATGAGCCAGAGGAGACAAAGCTCTTTACCCTGAGCTCTCTCCAGGCCACATCACCTTTATATCACATCACATTTCAGGCTCCTTTGCTGCCCAAAGCTCAGACCAAACCAGACCTGGTTGTGCAGCCTGAGGAGGTGTTGGCACTCCTCTCTTCTCTGCTAGGCCAGGGGTCTGTGTGTATTGCTCCCCTGGCATGTGTTTCAAGCTAAGATACTCCCAGCTCCCATTTTTGGAGAGCCACTGACCTGTGAGGGTGTGAGAGCTTCACTACAGAGGATTTACACAAAGTAGAACTTGTTTCAGTGCAGCTTCCACCACTGAGGGAGTCTATCCAGTGATTCTAGCTGGGGCAGGAGGCACCAAGGGCTGTTCCCAGTGATCCTCATCCCCTCCCCAAATTCCCTGGCAACACTTTTGGCCCATCCAGCACAGCACACACCGCCCACAAGGCAATCTCACACCCTCATCACCAGCACAGTGGTATCTTCAGGCTGTTAAAGCTGTGCTGGAGTGTCTATCTGGAGCAAAAGGGACATTTGCCCCTTCAAACCGTGTCAGAGCAGATCCTCACCCACATTTCTGGTCTAAATTGGTACTGGGAATATCCAGTCACTGCCAAACACATTCCAGGCAACTGGACACCCTGCAGCATATGGAAAGGCTGAGCTGGGAGGCCCTGGCTGCTGGTCCCTGCTCACAGCAACTGAATTGCTGCAGTTTCTCCTAAAAAAAAAAAAAAAATCCATCAGCTGCCAAAAGGATGGACCTGCTCCTACCAGGATCCCTTGCTGCAGTTTCTCCTAAAAAAAAAAATAAAAATCCATCAGCTGCCAAAAAGATGGACCTGCTCCTACCAGGATCCTGCATTAAGCCTAACATTGCTGTTTTCTGACCTTCTCTAGGTACAACCCTGACCCTGCAGCTCTGGGGACAGCTGGAACCAGGGCAAACTACTCTGAGAACTGCTGCAGGCACAGGGACAGACACAGAGTACTCACCCAGGTAGGAAAAGCCTTTTCCCTGAATACCTACTTGGAGATGCAGAGGAGCTTTTGTGCTTTAATCCCTACTCCAACAAGCAGTTTTCCCCATTTACTGGGAATTAAGTGTTACTTCATCCCTATCAGCAATCATCTCCAGTCAAACATAATTAACAGACCAGTAACAACCCATCCCAGAGGAGCAGATCCTGCTGGGACTCTAATCCCTACTTTTAGCTTCAAAGCTAAACCTGTGCCAAACTACCATACGTCAGTTTAGGTGCAAAAGGAATTACAAGTGTCTGGCAAGCCAGGGAGGGGAAAATTCCTTAAATCAGAGGCACCTCATGGCAAAACCTCCCTGAGACCAGAGTGCCCAACCTGGAGAAACACCAACCCCACCAGGAACTGCATGAGGGGCAAAGAGTGAGCTTGGAGCCCTGTTTGGAGCAGGGGACAGCAGTGACCACAAAGCACCTGAGCAGCAGCAGCTCCCTCAGGGCTGTTTTGGTGCAGGAATGGAAGGGGAAGTCAGTTGGAATCTGGGGGATCCCTGGGGGTCTCTGTCCCTCTAACCAGGGGATGCTTGAGGGTCTCTGTCCCTCTAAGAGATGCCCAGGGGGCTCTGCCCCTCTCCCCCTGTGGGATGCCCAAGAATCTCTGCCCCTCTCCCTTGGGGGATGCCCAAGGATCTCTGCCCCCCCTGTCCCTCTAACCAGAGGATGCTCGAGGTTCCCTGTCCCTCTAACCAGGGGATGCTCGAGGTTCCCTGTCCCTCGAAGGGATACCCAAGAATCTCTGCTCCTCTCCCCTGGGGGATGCCTAAGGATCTCTGCTCCTCTCCCCTGTGGGATGCCCAAGGATCTCTGCTCCTCTCCCCTGAAGGATACCCAAGGATCTCTAC